GTGCCGTCTTTAATCAGGTCAACGCGGTATAGAAGTAGAAAAACGCGAAAGAAATACACAATAAAAAGTTACAAAGCAGAAGAAAATATAAAAATAAAAATAAGAAAGAAATAACACTTATTAATAACTTTGGCCAAAGGCCGTGATGACGGTTCTCGCCTCAGTTGGCTTAAATGAAATTAAATGAATTAAATAGAAATTTTGATGGAGTAGCCTCCATCAGGGGTATATAATAAGGCGCTTGAGGCCATTTCCTGCTGCTGCTGCTGCTGCTGCTTCTTCAAAGATCCACCAATGCGAACTGGGCCAGCGACGGAATAGCTTTAGCTTCTATCTGCGATTGAATTAAGTGTAACGCATTTTGAGTAAATTGCCAAGCGCAACGGGTTTTTTGCTACAACATCAGGCCCCCAGTTGGGCCGGAGCAGCTGGAACTGCGAGCTTGCTTAGAGAGTTAGCCAAGAGTCGGTAATAGCTCTGCCACTTTATTTGTTTTTAGTAATAGAAAAAAAGAAAAAGTGTGAAATATAGTGAGCTGACCACTCTGCTGTTATATATAAAAATTATGTTTTAGACATATGTCGAAGTTGGTAAAAGAGTTCATTTGACCCTTAGGGCAATACAAATTTCTATTTATTCAAATTTTTATTAAGATATATGATTTTAAATTCTACCTGTTTAATATTTATGTGGTATGCTCAACAATTTTTATAAAGATTTCTAGTAAATTATTAGTCTTGGTCTTTGTTTGATTTGACTTTTGTGTAAGAAATGAACCCCAATTGAACTTTTGTACACTGCATCAATTGAAAATGGGAATTTAGGGTATAATTATTTTAGAATTTATCATATTTTTGATATCTCTATCTCATGATCCAGCTTGCATTCCACAAATGATGGAAACATTAAATTTAGTGGGGGAATTCCTGTAATGAATACGAAGATGTTATGTTTTGGATTTTCTATACGTTCCTCCCTTCCTCAAAAATTCGCAAAAAACATATTTCAAATACTATAGGCATTACCGAACACATATGAATCCCATTATCACGCTCTGAAAATTTGATACAGAAAGTCCATCTAGAAGAAAAGTTATTCAACAATTTAGTTCCATACTAAAGCACATAATGCTGCCCAAGCGCAGTCGCTGCACTAACTGAGCAGTCTGAGCAGAGAGTCTGCTTAAGTGTGAGTGTGTATGTGTGTGTGCATGTATTCTTCATCATAAACATGTCTATCAGCTCTTCGCAGTGTTCAGGTATCTCCTAGTCGAGCAGTCTCAACTAGAGCACTCATACTTGTTTTTTCCTTGACTTAGTATGATTTATTATCTGTTGTAGTATTTTAATGAAATTTGAAATTTGTTTAAATTTCACAAAATTCTCTTATAATTCTTTTGATATTCAAACATATATTTAGTTACAGTTAATTCATATTACAATCCTCATTTGAAGACTTTTTGATTTTTTAGATTTCCTAACTATATTTTTGATGTTAACTAACTTAAACTTCTTTGAAAGCTCTGGCAATTTGTCAGGTCTCCGCTATTTGCCACCAGAAACTCTTAAATATTTCAAATATCTCTCACATATTTAACATTTATGTACACAACATATCTCAAATTGCTTAAGTTTCAAATACCAGAGCAATTTGACATAAACATATTGAATAGCAAAACCGAAACAAAAAGAAAAAAACAAGTTTAAGCAAATTATATAATTGTTCAAAAAAATGAGATGGAAACAAAGTAATCAGCCAAAAACTTTCCGATTATTTACGCAGCTGTCATATCATAATAAGCACAGTTATGTTTGAAATGGCTTTTAACTGGTTTTCGCTTGGAAAGGGGGTAATTATCATACAAAAGTTCACAAGCGACCAGGAACATGTAAGAGGCAAAGTAAAAATTACGAGCACTTTGGGTGCTTACGAATATGGCGCAAACAACTTCTATACAGACAATAAAAGAGGCAACTTAAAAGGTAGCTGACATTTGATGGGCTGCGGCCCGCGACAGAGCCTACCACAAATATGGCCAAGGCACGCGTGATTTATGGCCAAGTCGAGTGCGTTGTGCGTTGTACGTTGTACGTTGTTCGCTGTGCGCTATACGTACACATTGCCTATGGCGTCTCGGAGATCGGTGAAAAACACAAAAAACTTCACTCTATCTCGCTCTCTGCCAATTGCGTGCGGCTAAGAATGTGTGTGCTGTGTGCGGAGAATCATTTTCAAAGTGTTGCGAGTTCAACGCCGCCGCTCCATTGGGCTGTTTGGTTACGCTTGGCGGCGGCCAAAACAATTACAGTGCCGCGTTGTTGCAGTTGCAATTTGCAACATGCAACACTGATCCCGGCGGCAGCTAAAAACAATGCAGGCACAAACACAAACTCAAACACCACGCATCGCATTGCCAATCAAAATTGTTAACATATTGTGGAAAGTAAAGCCTCAGAAACAAAAGCAAACCAACTCAACAAGTCTGCTACAAAAACATCATCAACATCGAACTACTTAAATACAACAACAACAACAATAACAATAGAGTTTGTGCATAGTGTGCGAAATCAAGATATAAATTGAAAATGTGAATTGGCAGCCAATTGCATTATGCTACAATGAGGGCTCATAAAATAGAGTTAAGGATTATTGAAATATATTTTTGCGATAAATTAAATAAATAAATAAATAAATAAATAAATTATAAACTTTTTCTAACACAGAAAGTGATCTAAAGACATTCAAAATTTAAAGCATACGAATACGTCTGTGTTCTTGAATATTACATAACATAAGAATTCATATGAATATATATTTTTAAGTAAATAGATGCAATTGAAATGAAAATATTTTTAAATATTTTTTTAAATATATTTTAACCCGATTTTATTAAGCTTTCATCTTTGTTAGATTGAAGTATAACATCGAATATTTATAATTTTTACTATAACTATATTTGTATATTTATATAATATAAATGTTATCATATAACATTTGATTATATTATCTTATTTAAAAATATTCAGCTTGTTGAATAAATATTGATGATGAGACTTTTATAACATTATAACATAAACAGTTCTGTTAACTAACATAGTATTCATTACAGCTCTGCATTCATTTAACGTTATGGTCAAGTCACTTGTTATGGGTATCTAATATTTGATGATGATGAGCTGTGAGCTAAGTTCTGTTAGGTAACAAGCTTTCTTCGTGTTGAAATGTTAGCGTTAAATGTTAAATGACTCAATTTGTTTCTTTCGTAACATTTATGTTAAGGTACTGTAAGGTTTTTTTCATAGCAATTGCTTGTTTATTAGTTATGTTAAGCATAATTACAATTTTGTGTAAAATTTTAGTTCCCTAACTCTAACCAGCAATAGTAAAAAGCGTTTCGTATTTCACAAATAATAGACAAATATTTTCATAATAACTTCCAAACTAATTAAAGTTGATATAAATGTCTCATAACTCTCCAGCAAACCCGAGCTGAACTTAACAATATTGATTAATTATACTTAAGTTCTCAACTTCAACGACCTTGACTATAATTTACTTTAAATTATGACTAATTTCTCATACGTATTACCCAAGATTTGTCATAGGTGCAGTGTATTTTTTTCCCCAAACAAGATAAATGAATCACAAAATAGATTTTTCAGCTCAGTTCAGAATTTAAATGTGTGCCCTAGGCCAAACACTTAACAAAGGAAATCATGAATAAGACAAAGTAAAGAGCCGTTTCTATAATTATGGCTCGCGATGTAGTCAAAATGCACTCGTATATACATTTTGCTACCCTTTTTCTGTTTCATTTGGAAGAGACAGAGAGAAGGAGGGTAAGAAAACGTGGCTGGATGCTGTGTGGCAGGTTCAATCAACTTGCACCAGGCTCCAATGGCCTTGTCTTGCGACGAGACGGCCAAAACACTCATTAGCTTGGCTAAGCGGCTTGACGCGCCCCACAGATGATCTAATCGCCAAACACTTAACACTCAATTGAACGACAGCAACAACAACAGCGAACGAATTTTTATAGCGAAATGTGAGCGTGGATGATAAATCACAAAAAAAAAAGCTGCAACACCGCTAATTTCCAATGCAAGCGTTTGGTGTGAGCCAGCTTATCCCCCGGATCGAAACGAAGTATACAACTGAATCATCTGCTTTATAATGTACTATAGATAAAAAATGCTTACACAAATTATAAAAAAATATAAAACAATTGTACAAATAAGTCATTGCAATTATTGTTTGTAAACAACTGATTAAAAAGTTTACCAAAGTCGAAAACAAACATATTTATATGCTTAATATATAGTGGATACATACTATACATAGAGATAGGGCTTCGAACTGCCTCGAAATTGCAAAGTTTAGAACGGAGCAGAGCATCGTGAAGAACAATTAAGTGCCTGACTAATAGATACTCTCACGCCTGTGGCGAGCGTTTAAGACAGATTTTTAGTCAATTCTGAGGGCAATGACACAAGAAATATTCGTACATTTTAGATGTATCTAAATAAAAAATTTAGCAACTTCTTAAATTTGGCGAATATGTTGAAAGAATTGAAACATACTTGATAAGCGGGTGCTATAAAGGGACGTTGCTGGTGATTAGGAAGGGGTTAGCCACGCCTCCTGCTTGCTATAACAGGCATCTTAACTAAAACATTATATATGGGATTACCACTTTTAGCGTGTTCACATTATTTGTTTAAACAAGATTAGTTCTACAAATAAGATTTTAGATAAAGTTGATTCTTAAACTAACTTCAACATCTTATCTGTATATCTTTAAGAACGAGATCTTTAGAGTAATTTTCCTTTATAATAACGGATCACTATCCGATAGAAATACATTGACAGACAGCAAGACTTACTTATATTGAGTACGTTTTTTAAATATAATAATAATATATAAATATGTGCATATTCATCAAATATTCACAAATCAAATTTAAATTAAGCTTACATTCAGAATAAAAATCACAACTCACTTATTTAGCGTTATAGACTGAGGTATAACGTAAAAAATATTCCAAATAACGCAACGTTATGTGTTTTGTTCTTCTTCTTTCTTTGACTCGTAGCGATAATCCACATAGAATGATTCCAAGGAATGCATGCAGTAGAGCGAAGCTTAGGGGGAAGTAGGAGTGCGCTTATGGAAAGAGCGGGATAGCGCAAACGAGGCACAAAGTGTGTGTGTGAGAGAGAAAGAGAGACAGTGATAGGGAGAGTGCGCGCACGATACGTAGCTTGTGGTTACTTCTTAACTTTTTTTATAGCACATTTTCTTTTCTTTTATTTGAATCTTGCTTTATGGCTATTGTGTATTATTGAAAAAACTTTTTCTGCCTAGGCAAGCACTTCTTTTGGATGTAGTTGTTGTTGTTGTTTAACACTTGCAGCCACTTCTATTATATTTATTTTTATTTATTATTTTTATTACTTTTTTGCGAAGCCGTAGTCCGCAACGAACGCGCATTAAGATATAATAAAAAATATATAAAAACAACTACAAAATGAACTGGGCGGATTATTGTTGTTGTTGTAGTTGTTATTGTTGTTGTTGCCAGCTAGCGCGCTCGGCTTGGTAACTGGCGACGCTGACGAAGTTTCAAAAGTGACTGAAAAGCGCCGAGCAGCAACAAGCGCAGCGAAGCTGCAAACGTGTCTTAAACGGCTCAAAAGGTAAGCAGGTAGAAAGAGAGCGAGAGAGTGGGAGCAAGCGAACCAACTGGCCGAGAGAGCGTGCGATCGTACAAAGTAAAAGCTAAAGAATATATTTGTAAAGCAAACTGGTTATGCTGCTCGGACCGGCACAATTCTATTTGATTAACTTGGACCTGTCTGGCAGCTACCAAGGAGGCAACAGGCTCCTCAAGCTCCCCAAGCAAGGGTAATAACATCGACAGCGAGCAGCAGCGACAAAAAATGCAGACGCAACTGCAACTGTGCATACAAATTGTTTATGAAATGTGAGACGAAAGCAATGCTAGATTGGGCAGACTATAAATATCTAGTCATAAAGCTGGCTGCTGGCTGGCTGCTGCCTGCTGGACTTGTCTGGGCTCCCCAGGGCGCGCCATTGTTTGTTCTCAATACCTTAACCAGTTTTTAAAAGACACTTTGCAATGCAGCTGTTATGCAAAATGAAACAGTGCTGCCCAGCGCGACAAAAGTGGGTGGCATAAATGACGAAAACTGGAAAAGGCCAGTGGGCGAATGAGTGCAGCAGGAGTTGGGGGACGGTGGGGAAGGAGGAACAGCAACCAAATTCCTGTTAGACGACCATATTGACCGCATTATTTGATGTCTGCACAATGCGCACAATGAGAGTCGCATATTAAGCTAACGACAACTGGAAAGGCTGGTTATAAATAGTTACCTCAACTAAGCCAAGGCATTGCGGCTAATTGGCCAACGGCGGCCATGGACGCATACAACAGGTATGCGTTGTGCCATTTGTAGCAGGCGGCAGCGGTAGCAAAAAGAAAACACAAAAAAACCAAATTGTGGAAAGTCAACTTACCCGAGCTGAAAAACTACGTAATTAAAGTAAATATTTGATGCTTAATCAATGTCAAGTCAAACATACCTTGTCCGTTAATTGCGTTACACCTCTTTCGCAAATTCCTTGACGTTTAAAGTCAAAATAAAAGCACAAGATGCAACGTAACATATTACACTATTTTTTTTTTTTAAATGAACGTCCAAACTAATTTGTAGCGCGCTAAAAATGTACATGTATGGTCACACTGGCGACGGCAACAGCTGATTATCGTCGAGCGTTGCCACTGTTTAGACAAAACGGAAAAAGTATTTAAGTAAATATACTAAAATATGACACAAGAAAAGCACTAATTTTTGGTTGGTTTTTTTTTATGTTATTATTAACAAAAATAAAAAATAAATACACTGTGGGCCCGGAGAAAAATGCCTTGCTGGTACTATGACAAAAAGGAGCTACGCGAGACACCTTCGATACTGGATGGCGTTACATATGATACAGAGCGGCGCTATCGCAAAGAGGGCGCACGCTTCATCATGGAATGCGGCACCAAAATGGGCCTCGGCCACAATACAATGGCCACCGGTGTCGTCTACTTCCATCGCTTCTACATGTTTCACTCATTCAAGAGCTTTCCACGCTACGTTACCGCCTGCTGTTGTTTGTTTCTCGCCGGCAAGGTGGAGGAGACGCCAAAAAAGTGTCGCGATATCATTAAAACAGCCCGTGGCATACTCAACGACAACTACTTCTACTCGTTCGGCGATGATCCCAAGGAGGAGGTAATGACACTGGAGCGCATATTGCTGCAGACAATCAAATTTGATCTGCAAGTGGAGCATCCTTATACCTTTCTGCTCAAGTATGCCAAATGCTTCAAAGGCGATCAACCAAAACTGCAGAAAATGGTGCAAATGGCATGGAATTTCGTCAATGATTCGCTCAGCACCGTCGTCTGTCTGCAATGGGAGCCAGAGATCATAGCCGTCGCTCTCATCCATTTGGCCAGCAAGCTGAGCAAATTCACGGTGCTCGATTGGCTAGGTAGACAGCCGCAGCATCAACGCTGGTGGGATATGTTTGTATCGAACGTGACAATGGAGATTCTCGAGGATATTTGTCATCAGGTGTTGGATCTGTATCAGTCTACGCAAAAGGAAGGCCAGGAGCCCAATAGCCCGCCACAAAAGCCGCCCAGTCGTGCCGACAGCCCAACAACAACAACAGCAACAGTAACAACAAATGCGATTTGCCCACAGCCTGCAGCACAGCCCAGTGGCAACGGCGGTCTGATTGGCGAGCTCAACAATATACAATCCATCAAATCGCTGGCCAATGCGATGCCCATTGCCGTCGTCTCGATACCGCCACCCAGCGATGGCCTGCCGTTGCCCACGCCGAATGCAGGCGGTGGCGGCGGCGTTGCACCACTGCCACCACCCAGCAATCTGAACAGCAATGCTGCCAATTATCATTTGTACCACGCACCACCGCCGCCGCCGCCACCTGTGGTGCCAATGCCGCCATATGCGGCCAATGCCTGGACACAGCAGCCGCCACCGCCAACACACTACAGCACAGCGGCGCCACCACCACCTATGCCGCCCAATATGGGACCAGGACCGCCCAGTGGCGGTCCACCTGGCTACTACAACGCCGGACGCCAGCAGCAACAGCAGCAGCAGCAACAGCAGCAACAACGCTATCAATAAATTATGTCAACTTTTTGTAGAAAAACATTTGTTAGAAAAGGAAAGAGCACATGGATATATAATATTAATAAAGCGTAATTTTATTAAAACAAAAAACATTATTCTCACCGTTGCATGACGATTTGTTGGGGTAGTGGGCGGGGAGTCCAAGAAGTCTGAGGAGCTGCTGCTACATTATGAATTGTAATGGAATATGTGGTGTGTGTATGTAATGTTTATACGTCTGCAACCAAAACGCGATTTAGCAACAATTGATTTACATAAATTCTAAAATAGTTAAGGAGTATGAACTTGAAGCTTTAATTAACAAAATATGATATTACAATCAATTTATAAATCACGTTTAGTTCAGCGGATAAACATGGGTGTCTGTGTGGGTATGCTTATGGGTTTACTTGACTACTTAGTTTATTTTGTAAATAGTATATAAGCTAAGCTATATATACGCTACACATATATTATGTTTTATATATATCTATATATTGTGATATACGTTAGTGGGAGTGACATGTACACACATATGTATGTATATATGTGTATGTATACATATACATATACATATATATACATACAAACATATATATATATATAGATATATGGTATTTTATATAAATATTGCAAATCGATTAACGGTTATTGTGATTAACGTTATAACACATACATAAAGACGCGCTTAACTTTTTTCGTTTCATTTTCTTTCACTAACAACTCACCAACCAGCCCACTTTCGCCCCGCCCTCAACATCAGCAGCTTTTATAAATATTGCTAAGGTTTATGCGTGGCTGCCAAAACTCATTCGATCGTTATGGTAAACAGGCAGCATTGGCGTACAAATGCAATTAAAACAAACAGATCTGATCCGGTTTCTTCATCGAGCTAAACAGTTGACATTGATCAAATCCTTAAACTATTTAAACGGACGACAATAGCTTTTGTGTTAAACTAAAATACTTAAATTCTACAGATTTAGGTTTGTTTTGTGTTTGAGACTAGATGCAGAAATTCGAAAAAAAAATCAAATTTGCAAATTTAAAATTAGGTATAAAAATGTACAGGAACGTAAAAGGCAAAACAAAAAAGTATCACTATAATTTTAACAGCTAAATGAGTTAGTGATTATGCTTAACGTAAACATAGCGAATAAAGCTTAAACAAATACTGAACATGCGTGAATACATTAAATATTTGCTTATGTATGGAATTAGCTTTTGTCATCTGTTTAAATTTTTAACTATATAGTGTATATATTTTTGACATTTTGTGAAAGAAGTAAACCGGCACAGATCTATATAAACTTAGAGCATTGCATTTGAAAAATCTCAATTTGAAAATTAACAAAATGCAGCCACGCATAAACATTTTTTGTGGCGTGTATGCACGTGTGTGTGTGTGTACTGGGCGGCTTTTAACGCGTCAATGTTAATGTTAATTCACCACAAGCATAATATTGTGGTATCATTAGAAAATCAGGCAGCGCTTGCCGCATGGATGATATTGAAGTTGAAGCCGCAGCCGAAGCGGAAGTGGTTGCCGCCGGCTGTTGTTGTTGCTGCTGTGCCTGCCGCACAATGTGTCCAATTTTGCCTGCATATAGATATAGATTTAAACGGACATTGGACACAGGTGTTTCATAGCAAGTTTACCCAGCACATTGGCACGATGAAAACGCGCATCCAATTGCCGCAGCACATAGAGATCTTGATGGCGTTTCCAGGCGTCCAATATATCGCTCACCTTGACGGCCACCAGTGCACCGGGGCCTGCGTTAGTCTGTGAGAAAGAAGTTATCGTTAATACACATACTAATATACTTTTGTTAGCTTATACACCTACCCGCTTGAATTCCACACTTAGCTGCTGTTGCTGCGGTTGCTGCTTCACAATGAGCTCGATCAGCTTTTTGAGCTTACGATGATTGCATTGCTGTTTCGAGATATGCAACAGCAGCTGCTTTAAATTGCCAGCAGTTGGCGGCGATGGCGCTGCAAGCTGCTCAAAGTAGGCATGCAACAGAGATGCGTTGTAGGAAATGTGAAGTTTGTCCAGCGCCTGCACCAGATGCTCCTCACTCAGATGCGCCGTGGACAGGCGCGCCACCAGCGGTTCAGTCGAAAAGCTTTGCTTGAGCAGCTGTTCACGGAAATACAAAGATATTTAATTAATGTGGCTGTTAGAGAGAACATGTGTGCAAATGAAAGGAGGCACGTTAAAGGCAATACTCTACTTTCTATATTCTTGCATCTTCACGTTAAGATCAGTACATATCATTTACATTCTTATTTACTTCACTCACCTGCCTGCCGCCAAAATTATTATCACACGAAATAAACCTTTGGTTATATAGACCCATGTCGCCGGCTGTATTGTGCCAGCTAAAGAGGCCGCCAAATTCATCTAAGTAGCCAGGCGAGCCGCTGCGACAGCGCGTCTGCTCGGCGCGTGTGTAGAGCGAAAGGCTGCTGCCACGCCCGCCAACGCGCCGTCTACACTTGACACAGCTGCTCAAATCGAGAGCTTTGCCAATCGTATTGGCCAGAAACTCCTTCTCGAGGCAATCGAGGCAGGTCTCTTCCCCGCTGCCCAAATCAAATTTTGTCGAATTGCTGGCCATGGCGGCACTAGCGGCCACCACAGCTGCCGCCGCAACCAGCATGGGTGCCACATCTTCCTGTTGTTGCTGCAGCTGCAGCTGGAGCTGCTGTTGCTGCGAAACGGCACGAAAATCTGTGCAGCTATAGCAACGCTCATCGTAACTGGGCTGCGAGCGACGCGACTTTGATGAGGAAGCGCAGCTCTTCGAGGCGGACACTAAGGATGAGGAGTTGGAAAGCGTGCTCAAACGCTTAGGCTTAGCGCCTGTCAGCTTCGAGTTGCACGTCTCTTCGTCTGCATGAGTTGGTTCGCTGGGCACGCTGGTGCTGCGATTGAAGCTACTGTAGGCGAGTGTGTTGGGCAGCGAGTGGGCCAGTGTGTTGACATCTGCTGTGGTCGCATCTACGAAGTCCTGTTCATCATCCTTAGTGCCGCAGAGCAGCTCATCAGCATCCACATCAGAGCCAGCATCAGCATCGGCCTTAATCTGATCCAAATTAAGGCTAATGCGTGCAAATTTCTTGCTCAAACGCTGCAGCGCTTCCTGTGGCGCTGGCAATGCTAACTCCTCAATTGGCGAACTATAGAGTTGCCTAGGCTGAGTGGGCGTGGCCATGTGTCGACCGCTCTGTAACTGACTGTAATCGCGTTGCATTAGCAGCAAATTTGCATGTCCTGCTGCCGCTTCCTGTGCGTTCGCCACAAACTCCAGCTCGGACGAGGGATCTGGCTCAAAGTCCATTTCAAGAAAATCCGTCTCATCATCACGCACCAGACCGAAATCCAAATTGCGTCCACCACGGCCAGTGCTGGCGTCGAGCGCAGCCATGTCAAAGTCAGCGGCATCGCCGCGGTACGCATAGACGCAGTCATCCGAATTGAGCGATATCTCCTCGGCCTCCACATCGTCATCTTCGTCGTCATCGTCCAGCAGTATGAGATCGTCGGCATAATAATTGTCGCTGGCGTAGCTCAGATTCTCAGTGGAGTTGTTCATTGAGGTGCGACTGGAGCTGAGGCCGCCAATTGCCGCATCGGTGGGCGAGAGTGCGGAGGCAGCAACCGCCGCCGCTGCAGCTGCCAAATCGCAATTCAGCGCTGGCAGCTCAATCAGACCGTAGGCAGCGCCAATGCTGATGCCATTAAGCTGTAGCGAAAATTCCATTATTACAAAAATAACAAACAATGGAAACGCAGAGCACATGTACATACATACGCCAATAAAAATTATAACACAAACAAAAAAAACACTTGCCTTATCACTGGTGACTAGGCCTGCGCCAGCTGCAGCGCAGTCGCCGTCATCGTCGTCCGCTGCAGCGCCGTCGCATCCTTCTCCTCCGCCCTCGTCCTCAATGTGTGCGACACAAGTGGGCGTCACAGCAACAGCGCCTATCGTTGTTGTTGCTGCTGTTGTAGCTGTCGGTATTGACATTGTTGTTGCTGTTGTTGTTGCTACTGCTGTCGTCGTTGTTGTTGTTGTTGCTGTGGCAGCTGCTGCTGTTGTCTGTTTCTGTTTCGCTTTTGCCATAGTCCTTTGCAATTTCGCCTGCTCATCGCCATCGAGGCTGCTATAATTGTGTGTTGAGTTGCACGCCACAAGATTGTTATTATTATTAAGATTTAATCGCCACAAGCCATCGTGTTTTAACTTATTTATTTCAATTTTATCTTTGCCAAAACCAAAACGATAATCGTTATCGCTCATGTCTAACTTTAAGCCTACACCTTAGAGATGAGCGTTGATGGAAAATATATATATACTCATGTATTCGTTACTTGCTATAAATATCGCATACAATTGGGTCACGAAATATGTATTTTAATGCACAGTTAACAAAATATTATAAAAACAATTCACAGTTTGAGTAACTTTAAAATAATTTGAACAAAATAACGTTTTTTTAACAACTTAAAAGATTTTTAAAATGAATTAACGAATTGTGTCTATCGCTTTGCCAAACACTTCCACGCTGCGTAAGAGATACGTCAAAAATTAAAACATCATATTAAGAAAGAGACAATTACCGATATATGCAAGTGGAATTTCCGCCATGATTTGTTTTGAATGAAAAAACCAATATACGAAATGGGCAATGCTTGCCGACAATATAGTTCTCTGTGCGTGCTGTGGGCTCATTTTTGTATTTCCACTTACCTAATAGTTCTTTTTTGTGAGTCTTTGTCGACACACCCTAACAAAACATTAAACATTGACAACATACATAAATGTGATTATAACGGGAAGATAACTTACGTAAACCTCAAAATCTTTTGGTGCATTATTTACACACTCACTCGGAGTCATCTCTTTCGGCACATGTGTCAAACTTATTTCCTGCACATGGATAGTCTTCGCCAGTTGTAAGGAAATTGTTGCTTTATAGCCCCGAAACCCGAAACACGATCCTGGCATTAGGCTTGGCCTCAACATATTTATGGGTGGATTTGTACTAAAATCCAAGCCGAGCAACGACTTAACCAAGTTGCTATTAGCAATTGGTTCTGCTATAGCCGAAATTATACGTGCACCCAGCTCCTCGGAAGCATAATTGATACGAGGTGGAGACACAGCCAGTGATTGCTTATTGGTGTGGGGTGCATTTGTCTGCGAATCTCGACAAATTGATTGTTCGAATTTTTTTTTTATATTGTATACATCGTCCATTAAGGGGCCAATCTTGCGTTTTACCAATGTATCCACACAATCATTCAATTCACTTGAATCGCAACTTATGGATGCCTTACTATTCTGATTTTGGCTACAACCAGATGTTACTGAAGGCAGATATTCGTATGTATTTGCTGTGCAATCCACTTTAAGCGCTTGCTGCTTGGCAGGAATATATATAAGAATATATTTTGACCATTTGAACAATCGTTATTCAATATATTTACGGATATACAGTTAACGTCTTCTTGCAGCCGTGTAAGTCCTATAATACTCTTTCTATTATTCCACATTAGATGATAGAAAAAGAGCACGAGTAATGAAAACGTGAACATGTAGGTGCAGCAGACGCGCTTGTTGCAGGTCCGCCTACCTGCATCCATAATTACATATCCAAAGTTGGAATTATTTTCAAAATATAGTCTACTCAGATTTTCAAATATAACGCACAAAAAACATTGTCGAATTAACAGTTACATTTGAAAGTTAACAGCATTCATCGTCAAACAGATCGATATTTCAAACAAAGTATACATCGATATATCGGTATATAATGCTACATCACTAGCAAAAAGCAGTCAAACATTCGCGGAGTGTACACAAAAAAGGAAAGGCTTTCTTTTTCAGCCAGCTGCAGCAGTTGCACGCACAACAACAAACGCTGGGGCTGCAGAGAAACGAAACGAACTTAACTAAACACTTCAGCGAAATAAAATACAAAATTGTAAACTTATAATTGTCAGAACTGTTACAAAATACAACTGAAATACAAAAATTATGGAAAATTTGGCGCGTATATGTGAACAAAAAGTGCAATAGAAGAGAGAAAAAAAATTGATTTTTAACCAGTGTCAAGTGCCAACAACAACAGCAACCAAACCAACAACAAAAAACCAGCAACAAAATGGTGCAAAAATTCCAATCGCCCGTGCGCGTCTACAAATATCCCTTTGAGCTCGTTATGAAGGTGTGTATCTTATTTGCAGTAGGCGTGTCACATATACCGCCCACGCCACGTAACTAATGTGTTGGTGTGAGTGTGTGTGGGTGTGCATGCGCTTAAAGCGTGTCAGACTTAAATCATTTTTATAAAAAGCGAAAAACAGCAATTTGCTTACAACTTATTAATTAAGCGCAGTTGTCTTTGTTTTCACTGTATTTTCCGCAATAATTTTACGTCCAGCTGCTTCGCTCCTTCCGCCTGTATTTACCTTCTTTTCTTTTAGCTGTCAAATGCCGTCGCGCATCGCATGCAGCAGATAAATAAAATTAACCTTGGCGCTCTCCCTCTCTCTCGCTCGCTCGCGCTATTCTCTCTTTCGTCCGCTACTCTCCCTCTCCGTCTCTCTGTCGTTCAATTGAATAACCCGCGTATGTAATTTCATGAATGGAACGCCTCACTTCCATCGTTTCATCTCAAATTGTGCGAAGGGGTAAAAAGAAGACGGTCAGCTGCCCAGTTCGTGTTTTGCATTCCAGATCCGCCTCACACAGAGACAGGCAGGAAATAAGCGATTATGGGCACATTGTATACAATCTACAACAATCAACGAAATAAGACATATAACACTCTAAAAAAAATAAAACGACAAACAATAACAATATAAACAATTCTGTGTGCATGCCGAATATGAAATACAGTTTGTTTATTCAAAATGCTCATTAGAAATCAACAAGAAAAAAGTTGCAAAATCTAACAAAAGTTTTGTTTCTGATTGGATTTAATTTATCTCTAGCTGAAACTCAAACATGTTCGTTTGTGCTTAACAACATGTTCGAGTCATGGTTGGCTTTTATAATACAAAGTGGAAAGTTCCAATAAGAATTGCTATTAGAGTATTTGTTATATTTCAATTAAAATTTATGTGAAGTGGTACACAAATAACATAGGATAATGAAAGAGCTTGACGTTCACTATCTATAATTTATCTTTAATGTGTATATGCTCTATAATATTAAATGTGTATATCTGCTTTGGTATTTGGATTGAAGTAGTTGATGTTCAGGTCGTGAAGTTTCGATATGAGAAATAGCCTTAAAAATAGTAAGTCTTAAGCTGTGATACTTTATTAATGTCCTACAATGTTCATTAGAAGCAAACACCTATTCTGTAAGAATGAAATAAAATGTTGATTCCAAATATTTTAAAGAACAAAAATTATATTCTAACTAAATATGATATATATATATTTATATATACTCTATTCATATCATAAAGATCGGGCAGCTACAACATAAAAAAAATAATTTATTAAGTCATTTAAACCGAAAAAAATTAATAAAAATATATTCTATCAATTTAAAACTATATTTCCATAAATGTTAGGGTAACTCCAAGTCGCCCACTCTTTTACTGTGTTTTTTTTTTACAATGTCTGAACATTTTGATACCAACTACAAAAGGGTAAACAAACTTCGTACTGATATCAGCGTAACGATGGATTACTCCATGAGCTCTGCCGGCTCTATTAACTAATTGACTGCTCTATATCTTTTGCGATAAACACTTTAGTGTTATCACTTCGGGGACGATCCATTGTAGCCGCAAATTTAATTAAATTTCGCATTAATTTATTCATTTATTATTATTATTCATTTATCAACAAATTTTATTTATTATCAGCTTGAATTAAAGTAGTTTGCAATTGTTGATGGGTGCAGCGACGCTGACAAAGGCCAAACAGTTAATGTCATTGACTCGAAAAATAACGAAACGAAAGCTCTTTTTTCGTCTACACACAGTAAGTCAAGCTAATTGGCTTAACAGTAAAAATAATCGCTTAATAGTACTGGGCACCATATCAGCCGTCAGTCGAAATGGTCACGTTTTCGACTCATTGGCTGTCTAGTTGGACTACAGACCCGCTCTATCTAGAGAGAGAGGGTGTTTATATTATAAAAGAGCTTAGAATTCAAATCATTAAATTCTATTGATAAAGTCCCGTCGAGATGATGCAATCGCAAATGGAATATTTTAAACTTTGAATATTAATATCAGAGGAAATTAGGCAGCTTGCAGATTTTAATGAAACTAAAATCTAGTTTAGCTTGAAAAGTAATTGTTTAATGAAATCTCTGCAAATAAAAATAATAAAAATAAAATATGTACACAGCATTTAAGAAACTCAATTAATTATACTTTCTTCATTTCTTGAGCTCTACAACATCTATAAATAATTTAACAAACTAAAGAAAACTTTTAGATAAGATAGAATTTAATTATAAAAAAATCAACCATTTTCACTTCGTGAACGAGACGACTTTTTCTAAAAAAAATTGCATTTTCAAACAAAAATTTGTTGACTAATTGAATTAAAGAATTTAATTAAAGAGTGCAAATATATGATTGAAGCACCTGCTCATATATGTCTCAAATGCAAGACTAAGAAGAGCTGTCCCAAATGTCAGCTATTTTTAGGCACGCCCACAAGACTAAATGGGAATTGTCAGCTTGGTATACCCTGTACTCATTGAATGCGCCATTTTGAGGGCATGACAACTTTCTATAGAGCAGCAAAGTCAGGATGTTAAATTAAGTTGATTTAGCCAGGTTTCATTTGCTTGTCTATCTGTATGTCACTACTTGCGGTATCTATCGATAAAAATCGATAAAGTAACTAGACAGTGGAACTGCTTAAGCTAGAGACAACAAATGTATGCCCAAATCGACTTGAAAGTGGGTAAACAAACTTTGAGCTTATTGTGCTTATTGTGTTATGCAGGAGATAAGCAGGCAACGAGTTGAGTAGAGTGGAGCGTCTACAATTCTTTTCTTATCTGACATGTCTATTTTGGATACCCTTCGTCAGTCAATATACAGCTGAGTTTGAAGATTTGATTCATGCACACATTTGGCTAATATATTAAAGCATTACAAATTGTATGGTATCTAAATTATTCGAATTTCAAGTGTATTTCTCATAGTAGGGACAGTAGGGATATATAATATATATAAATAAAAACATATATATGGGTTACTGTATATATATGTATAGAAGAAACCAAGCATAATGGGCGCATATAGGTTCGGGTAACTTCCAGTCGGACACTCCCGATACTCTCACTTATTTGCTGTTTTCTTTCTTTGCTAGTATATCTCAGTATCTCCTAGTCGGATACAGCCAACTATCTTACTTGTTTGCTGTCTACTTTGCTTGTTCTGGAGATAGAGAGCAGTGCTCGGTATCTTCCAGTCGGGCACTCCCGCCACTCTTACTTGTTTGCTGTCGACTACCATTTTGTAAATGACGCCACAGCAGATATGGAGTGGCCGTAGGGCATAAATGCAATACGTATTGCCATCAATTTCCATTTGGCATCAGCGTCAAACCCGTCAACGTGACAACCCGAAGTGCTATTACGCATACGTCACATGAGCCAGTTGCCACTTTGCACACACTTTCGATGGGACGGGATGCAAGGGGTAGCGAGCGTGCAAATAAATTGGATACTATAATAAAACTGTTTAATGCGCAATTATCATTTCATACGGCCTGGGACAATTGTACAACTAGCACTTTCAATCGTCTATGTATGAAGTCTATAAATCTGCCAAGCAGCAAATATGTTTGTTTGGGTGCAATTTAATTTTGTTTAGTTATCTTCTTTTTTCAGTTTCCAGGTCATGTGGCTATTCGCACGAGCGGGTGAATTATTAAGCGTTCAGCGGCGCAAAATATTGGGTTTTGCTCGACAACAAGTTGTATTCTCGTTTAGTTTTTCCCAGGCGCTCTGGTAAGACCACGTGCCAGGCACGTCGTGTGTCGTCTCAGCGCCTTGAACTTTTCAAATATTTATGCAGCGAACCTTTCCCACAGTAATTATCCTTTGGCGTGCAGGCCTCTCAAATGTCAGCGTCTCGACACTTTACGACTTTAAAGGACATTCGCTTCCATTGTCCTTGCCGACCCAAGCCAAGATTTTAAAAATTCAAAACAAATTTCCGTGTAGCGCTGCTACACATAATAAATAATAAACCATGTATAGATTTATCTATATATATATTATGTACATATATGAAACATCAGATAAATTGTAGCTGACGTTGCTTGCTTTATTTATTTTATTTGTTTACTCACGCCTCTTCGAGTGATATAATAAACTCTGCACCTACCAAGTGCCGCGAAGCACACGAATTTGTTTAGCTTAAATCTATTAAACATTTCTGCTTTGCCTTTACATTTTTTTAAATTATTTGAATTCTTAAAAATTAGCCAATCTAGCTTAATAATTATTGCCCATAAATATTCAAATGTTTCTATTTGGTTAATGATTTTTAAAAATGTTTGAACTTTGTTTACATTAGAAAATTCTCTAAAATTATTTGAAGAGTATATCATTATCTTGGACGAGTCTAGGCTGAATTCCCATTTTCAATAGGCTCAAACTACAGCAAAAATATTGATACCAAGTTAAGATAGCTTTTAAAACATAAAGTAAAAGCGTAAGAAGAATGTAAATTTTAAATTTATA